CCCCCTAAAGGGATAATGCAGAAAAACGGCACTTCAGAAGGGTCCAGGTGCGACGGAAGGTGGTGAAAAAATCAAAAAAACCATTGAGACGACTCTGTTTGATGCCCCCTACAAAATGCACCCCTTAAAATCGCTCTCGGACAAACCCACCCCTCACAACACCCCACCCCCCCTAAAATCCACAATTTTTGGACGACGGTCTCGACTTTAGGCTCAATGCATTCTCTGGACTCCCCTGATCCAGAAAATGCTATCACCCATACCGTGCACCCCATAGGCACTCTTTGGGAGTGGGGGTGGAACAGCTCGCAAATTTTCAACTCCCTTCGTAAAAAAACACTTCCACGCATCGGAGGCCGATGAAATTCACCATGTTTGTTCCCGATATGTTAAGGATAAATGCCGAAATGGTCCCGTTTCGAAAACTGCCCCCAGAGCTGAAGGGACGGGGGCAGAGGTAGGGGTGGTCCACCCAGTAAGTGTAAGGGTTGTAACGTTGTTTCGTTGCGTGGATCACATGCCCAACAGTCCAGGGCATCGGTGTAACAAAGTTTTCATGTCTTTTTCCCGCGTGAATGGCAATAAAATTCGAAAATGTCAATTTTTGTAAAAACTCGCTTCCAACTTCAGGCCCATCTGCAGAGTGAACGAGTAACCCCACGTCAACACCGTTCACGGATTCGGACGCGCGAATGCTTTATTAACAGATCCCCAAAAAATCAGATTTTTGTAATCACGCTTTCGTTGTCAAATCGGCGCAGATTTGAAAGAGTAGTAAATGGGCCGGACGGAAACGGCATTCAAAAGTGGTGCGAGACCCTGCGCCCGTACGGGTCAGCCCACGTTAAATTGGAGTCCGGTCTGGTCTGACCACGTATTGGTATAGGCCCTCGCTCCGCTTCTGAATGCCGGCCCACTTACTACTCTCATCATAATTTCTCGTCCAAGTCTTCGCCATTGATTTCGCTTGTCATCGCGGTTAGACAATTTAGTATAACGCTATTCGTCCGCTCGACTTGTCCGTTTGCGCGTGGTGTGCCCGTATTTACTTTTATGTGTTGGATTCCGTGATCCTCACGGAATATAATGACATATAATGACGGCTACGTATTTATTATTACACTCTATCGTTAGCAACGGTCCCAAATGATCTATATGGACAGTTCGAAACGGCGCACTACCCTTGTCCAGAGGGTGTAAGAGCTCGGGCTTCTTTCCTGCAGTCGTCTTAGAATACAAGCACGTCACGCATCGGTTTATGTATTTGTTAACGAAATCTCGCTTCTTTGGAAAATAATATTCCTCTTTCGCTTTTTCTAGTGTTTTATCGACACCTAAATGTGCTACTGACCGGTGTGCTTCAGCTATTATGTCGTACCGTAACTCGCAAGGAACATATAATCGCCATCGCCCTTTCGACACTTTGTAAACTCGCGCGTTATACATTGTGAATTTTTGATGAGCACTTTGATCGCCAGCCTCGAGTTTGTCTCGAAGGTTCAGGATATCAGTATCCGCATGCTGCATTGCAGCTACCCAGTCGGTATTGAGTCGAATTCCTAAAACGAGCAGCCCTTCAACTTCGGTGTTTTCAGGCGCTCCCACGGGGTTCCTGCTTAACGCGTCTGCTACGCTATTTCGTTCGCCTTTTTGGTACTCAATGCTGTAGTCGAACTCTGATAATCTAACAAACCACCTCCCGATGCGTGGGCTCAAATCCCGTTTATTTTCTAGCATTTTCAAACTATTGCAATCTGTTTTGATGACAAAATGGACTCCAATTAGATAGACTCGAAACTTTTCTAATGCGCATACTATAGCTAGTGCTTGGAGCTTGTACGAGTGATATTTTATTTCTTCGGGAGTTGTTCGTCGGCTATAAAAACTTACAGGATGCCACCTTCCATCGGGTTGTTTCTGAAACAACGCTGCTCCTAATCCCAACGCACAGGCATCCGTATGAACTTCCGTTTCGGCCTTGTAATTACATATCGCCAAGAGCAGTTTCGACATTAATGCTACTTTGATTATTTTAAAAGCCTCGTTTTGCTCATCACCTCAGGAAAACATTGCATTTTTACGGAGTAAATTGGTTAGTGGGTTTGCGACAACAGCAAAATTTTTGACGAATCGCTGAAAGTAACTAGCTAGCCCCAGAAAACTGCGTACATCTCGAGCGCTTTTCGGAATTGGAAATTCACGTACACTCTCTACTTTTCGCTTGCTTGGTTGTATACCTAATATCGAAATTTCGAAGCCCAAGTATTCTGTCCTAAATTTGAAAATATGGCACTTTCTTAAATTTAGAGTTAGCCCTGCGTCTCTAAGAATCTTAAGGATTTGTATTAAGCGATTCAAGGCTTCCTTTACCGTCATGCTTGGTATAATAATATCGTCTAGGTATGCCATGGCTATGTCATATCACAATGATCCTAAAATATTATTTATTAAGCGCTGAAATACCGCGGGCGCATTACATAACCAAAAAGGCATTCTTTTAAATTGAAAATGCCCATCTGGCGTTACAAAAGCTGTCTTTTCTCGTGAACGCGATTCTATTGGTAGTAACCGCTAAAAAGATCTATGCTCGTATAATATCTTTGTCCGCGTAATCTATCCAGCTGGTCATCTATACGCGGTAGTGAATACTTATCCTTTACGGTAGATCTATTTATTGCTCGATAATCGACGCACATTCGCATCTCTCCGTTTTTCTTCCGAACTAATAAAACCGGGCTAGCAAACGGAGAGTTACTATTCTCTACGACATCCTCCGCCTGCAAATCATCAACCATTTCTTGCAATTGTTGTCTTTCATGGTACGATATACGATACGGTCTATATATAACAGGTTTTTCCGACGTTAGTTCTATTCGCATTGTTGTCTTATCGGTCCTACCTAATTGTTTCATTGTTTTGGCAACGAGATCGCGATTTTGGTTAAGTACTTGCAGTAGCTCGTCCCGAATTCTATACCAACTTTATACGAACGGTATGATAACGTGCCGATCCCACTTCTGATAATTGTCGGAAACTACTTTCAGAGGTGTTTATATTTCGGCTTGAACAATCCGTCTGCCTCGTTCCTTCTCGGCGCCCGTACACGTATCCTCAAACACACACATTCTCACACCGATCACTCTGTACATTAGCCAATCATTCGTCTTGTCACCTGTCGCTCGATCTCAATCGTTCACATTCATTCGGCGCGCATTTCGCACTCATTTCAACATTCACTCGCTACATGACAAATAATAAAATTTATCTCTATACAAAATTGTATTTTGCCTTCGGCGGGCTCGTTTGATCAAAATTATATGAAGTGTCTCGTTCGAAGATGATAGTATATTGTAGTCATACTTGTCATGCCTAGTTTCACAACGTTCGACGCATAGTGGTTCCCTTCTACAAAAAAACCGGTGCTCTGCCAACTTCACACTCTCATTAGCCTCTCCAACTTCATATTGTTTCGTTGTGCCAAAGCGTCTAGACGTTCTTTTTTCGCTTAATTATATTCTTGTAGTTTATATTCAATTCTACATTATTCATCGAGGGTGATGGCAGAACACAAGAAGGGAAAACGATCACGGTCTCGATCGCACGAAGGGCATCAATCGAAACATCAAAAATATGAAAAATTCGATCAGTTACAAAAACAAATCGATAACCTAACAAAGGTTGTCGGGAACATAGCGCATTCTCAGACCAAGATGATGGCTCCAACAACACCTCTTGTAGAAGAAAATGCTTCTTGTAATGAATCAAGTGGTAAGTGAAGTAAATAAATAAATTTAAAAAAGAAGAAGAAACCCCAACTTTCCATACGAAAATTGAGGGACAAGGCCCACACGGCCGCGTCAGCCTATACGACGATGAAAGTACGGCAATTTCTTTAGTCTATACGACTTCAAAGGTTCGATTTCATCATGACAAGTCCAATAAGGATTTTAGTCGGCATGCTTGTCATGCCTAGTTTCATAATGTTCAACGCATAGTGGTTCCCTTCTCCAAAAAAAACCGGTGCTCTGCCAACTTCACACTCTCATTAGCCTCTCCAACTTCATATTGTTTTGTGTACTGTCCTTTGAATTATCACGACTTTTATTGAAGATGATAGCAGGAACTGATTTGGGGGTTAAGTAAGGGAGGGAGACTATCATCTTCGAATGAGACACTTCATATAATTTTGATCATACAATTATACTGTGTGTCTCGTTGTCGATGATAGTATATTGTAGATTTTTAGAGATGGAGTGATAATTCTCCTGTTTACCTACTTATTTTTATTTTTAACGTTTACAAATTCATAAAAATTACTCTAGGATGGTTCGAGCAAATTGGTCATTGAAATTTTCAATGGGCTTATTATAAAACTTATAAAATACTTGTAAATTGGGTGACCACCAAGCACTACGTCTTATAATTGAGATGTCTATTCCTCGTTTATGAGCTTTAGAAACTGCTGTATGTCGAGTACTATATGCTGTGAAAAGTTCTGTATTCACATCAGCTTTGCCTAGCAATGTTTTGATCCAGTGACCAATAGTTTGTGACGACACTGTACCAAAAGGCTTCACAGTGGCAATAAACAATCTTTTGACACTATTTCTCAAATCTTTAGTACAATCTAGATAATCTAAAACTGCAGTGGCTGCACACAAACGTGGCTTCTCTTTAAAAAACGGCAATATTAATTCTGGTTGAAAAACTCCTACTTTTGATGTTTTTATGTGATCTGTGATTTTAATATTTATCCCTGTATCAGATTTGTTTATGTTATCTATATTTATCAGTGCCAGGGTTTTCAGCCTCTGAGCTGTTGTTAGCGCTAATAAGGTGACAACTTTTTCTGCAGCATCCTTCAATTTTAAACCTTTTAATGGATGCAAATTTTCAATATAATTGAGAACTGAAGTGACATCCCAAATTGTTGCGTATCTCGGTTTTGGTGGTCTTTGTTTGAACACACCTTTTAAGAAATGAGATATCAGACTATCTTTATTAATATCATAAAGTGAAATTAAGGAAATTGCGGAACGAGCGGTGTTTAGCGTACTATAATTTGCACCGGTTTTGTAACGTTTGTTTAAAAATTTAATAATATCCATAATTTTTGCATTATAGATATCAAGATTCTCTAAATGAGAGAACTCCCACCAACTTCTTAGATGACACTCGTATTGTTTTAATGTTGAATTAGTAATAGAATTAACCATAACGTCCGCAACTTCCTCGGTTAATCCTTGTTTGAGATACCCTGACCAGATAACTTGCCTGCCACTAGTGAAAGGTGGGATGCTAGTGGATGGTTCCTGTCTCTGTAAGGAGATGTCAATAAGTTACGATCAGGTTCTAATATTATAGGCGGTTCCACGAGTAGTGAAGTGTACAGGGGGTACCAAGGTTGTGTGGGCCATAATGGTATTACAACAATGCCTAATGCCTTATCGTTAATAATTTTTCTTAGCGTGCGCAGAATGAGTGCGAAAGGAGGAAAAGCATAAAAGTATTCATTTTTCCATGACATAGTAAAGGCATCTATAGCCGAAGCTTCTGGATCTGAAAATCTAGAAAAGAATTTTTTACATTTTTTATTTATCCTGGATGTAAATAAATCCACTGAAATAGAACCAAATTGGTTTTGTATGCTTGTAAATGCATGATGAAATAGTTCCCATTCAGCATCTATATTAATTTGACGCGACGCATTGTCAGCTTCTGTATTCTCAGCAGATGGAATGTAGGATGCCCTCAACCAAATTTTCCTCCCTTCGCACCATTCCCAAATTTTTCTTGACAATTTACTCAATTTTGGAAATCGTACGCCACCCGCTTTATTAATATATGAAATCGCCGTTGTATTATCCAAACGAAGTAAGATTTCACATTGCGATAATTTTGAAGCAAAACATTTTATTCCAAAAAATGCTGCTAACAGCTCAAGATAATTAATGTGATTTTTTCCTTCTTTCTTATTCCAAAACCCATACGTTTTTGAACCGTTACAATAACAGCCCCAGCCTGACAATGAAGAATCGGAAAATATTTCCATTGAATAAACTTGTGTTCTAATTGGATTTGATCCAATGACAGTATTTATTTGCCACCAATTAAGATCTTCTGACATACCTTCAGATATTAAGATTTTTTCCTCATAATTGTCACCGTTAAATTTCAAAGCTAGAAATTTCTGCCTTTCCAGGCGTTTACAATGAATGAAACCATAAGCTACAGCTGGGCACGCTGGACTTAAAACTCCCAAAAACTCTGCAAATTTTCTGATTTTATACATTCGTCCTACCTTAAATTCTCTTACAAGTTGCAATATTTGATGTTTCTTTTTATATGTCAAGTTTAGAGAAAAACTATTTAAATCAATAATAAAACCTAAATATTTACACTGTTGTCGTGCTAAGAGTGAACTCTTTTTATAATTTATGATGAAGCCTAAATGCTCTAGAAATTGAATGGGCTTTGCCATATTTTTCTCACAAGCAGCTTTTGATTTATGAATAAATAAGAAATCATCTAAATATAATACCAGCAGCATTCCTTGCAACCTTAATTTGTGTATGACTGGTTTCATTATTTTTGTAAATACGTAAGGGCTAGTACATAATCCAAAAAGTAAGCATAAAAATTGATACAATTTTCCTTGAAACTTAAATCTCAGAAACTTTTTGTAACTATCATGTATCGGAACCAAAAAATATGCATCTGTAAGATCTATAGAGCCCATAAAATCTTGTTTTGATAATAAATTTATGGCAGATCGAATATCTTCTAATTTAAAATGTGGAGGATCTAAGAATTTGTTCAATTCTTTAAGATTAAAAATAAACCGATTTGAACCATCAGGCTTTGGTACAAGAAAATAAGAAGATATAAATTGCCCTTGACAATCTGTACATTCTTCAATAGCACCCTTCTTCAAAAGTTTATTAATTTCTATTTGAATTTTTTCTGTTTCTCTAACAGGCCATATTCTCTCCGCAAGAGCAATGTTTTGAAATGGTAATTCATTAGAAGGAATTTTGTATCCCTTTATATAACTTAAAATATACTTGTCAGAAGTGATATGTTTCCACCTTTCTAAAAATTGACCTAGGCGCCCCGTCGGTTTGTGTACCTGGCTTATCTCCTTGACAATGAGTGGCTCATCGTCTGAAATTTCTTCGACGACGTTTGAGCTACATTCTATGCGGTTCTGGATGCTCTTCCTCTGAATTTCACATATCGTCGTTTTTGATATGGACCCACCTGACGGTACCCCACGGGTGGGTATCTGGCGGTTCCCTGTTCTCGAAATTTTTGATTATGTTTTTGTGGTATTTTTTCTTGTATATCTGCACAAACCCTTTCAATTTCTTTCGCATCTTTTATTGCATGCTTCAGGTTACTTCCATAAAGCCACTCATCGGAAATCATTGTTTCTACCACTGGCTTAATGCTTTTCTTTAGGTGTGGCGTTATATATGATTTTCTAGCTACTGATAGCTGATGAAATACCTCCACTAGGATTTGGCCTGCATGGCTGATATAATTCGTAAAAACTTCTTCGTCTAATCCTTCTTCTGAAGGATCAATCAACAAGGACACTGCAGCACCCAGAGCAGCTATTGCCGTACCTACACAGTTCTGTGTCTTTACAAAATGTTCATCCCTCTTTTTGGGGATTTCTTTGAGTAAAGCTTCTATTTCCAAATTTAACTTGGGAGCGTCAACATGAAAGTCGTTCCTTCTGTCATAAGTCTCCAGAATTTCCTTCTTGTTCTTTTCTGGAAGGCCCACCTTTTTCCACTTCAGCCATGTATTTTTTAGCTGTGGATGATATTTGACTGGTTTAAACTTACTATCCGTGGGATCCATTCCAAGTACTTTTAGTACGTTATCATCTGAAGTGTTTTGCTCAATAATTTAATTTTGATTTCTTACACCTTCAGGAATGCTATCTAAATCCTCATGATCTAGAGAGAAAAAAATTAAAATAAGAAATTCTGTCGTCATTAGAAAGGTAACACGTATTGTCTATACTATGATATCTGTAGGACTCGACGTTACCGACTAAAAGAATACTACGCGTGTGGCACGATGTGCGAAATAACAATTGATATACGACAAGAGTCGCGTGGTCTTTAACCTCATATATACTTATCCCGATCCATAACAATATCTTTGTCCTTATTGGACTTGTCATGATGAAATCGAACCTTTGAAGTCGTATAGACTAAAGAAATTGCCGTACTTTCATCGTCGTATGGGCTGACGCGGCCGTGTGGGCCTTGTCCCTCAATTTTCGTATGGAAAGTTGGGGTTTCTTCTTCTTTTTTAAATTTATTTATTTACTTCACTTATCACTTGATTCATTACAAGAAGCATTTTCTTCTACAAGAGGTGTTGTTGGAGCCATCTTGGTCTGAGAATGCGCTATGTTCTCGACAACCTTTGTTAGGTTATCGATTTGTTTTTGTAACTGATCGAATTTTTCATCTTTTTGATGTTTCGATTGATGCCCTTCGTACGATCGAGACCGTGATCGTTTTCCCTTCTTGTGTCCTGCCATCTCCCTCGATGAATAACGAGACACACAATATAATTGTATATATTTGTATGATCTAAATTATGGTATGTAAATTATGTATACTATTTTATTATTATATTATTATTATTAATGTTTCTATCGTTTTATATATAAATAAAAAGGAAATAAAGTTTAAATCTGTACATAATTAATCTGTAAATAATTCCTAGATTGCCGCAAAATTCAAACAAAGAGGAGTCTGTTCTCCCTCCACACATAAATTTGCTATAGAATAGTACCACCGGAACCACTCATCTTGCATCTCTCTTGGACCGGCTTCTCTCGCGCAGTTCACACTCCAGTTAGGATAGAGCCCAATGGTACCAAGTGCCCCCCCCCCCCCTGGGGAGCCCGGGATATATATAGCCTTACTGACAAGTCCACTAGCAGGCCCAGGACGAAACGCTTCCTTCCTTTTCTCCCTTCTCTCACTCTCTCTTCAGCAGAACCGCCACCATAGTGGGATTACTTGAATTTACATGAAAAATCTTGCTTGGTAGACTTGTCGTTCTACATTACCGTTATCTACTTTATTATGCGTAGCGTTTTGCTTTCCATGCACGCGAATGCGCAGCTGTCTGTACAGGAACGCATTTCGCCTACGTTGCGGTCATGTCTGTACCGTATGAACGAATACGCATACAATATACGAAATTTATGGATGAACCGATATACTTATCCACCGTCGACGATCGCGAGTATAACTTGAGGACGTTATTGTTGCTTTAAGTGTTACGACAACCGGCGAAACTTGTCTCGTAAGCGGATAGGGGAGGAATGGATTTATTGCTCCGAAACGCAGAAACGCGATCGTATATAAACGCGAACAGCTATTTCCGGGTACGGAATAAAGTATCGATTGATTTTCCTGTTTGTTATTAGTTCCATTCCACCGACTACTATAGCAGTATGCTTGGCGATTCCTCTAGGTAATACAGCCGAAAAGATAGCGACTTTAATTGTGAAGAGTATGTATCGCAGCAAAATATAGATGAAGTTTTTCCGCATAGGGTTTAGCTTCCGTGTAATATCGATTTTATATTCTTATCTGGTATGTGATTACGTTTGCACTTAACACTAAAATTACCAACAAATTGAGAATAATAACGAACAGAAACAGGGACTATTTATTAACAATTTCTTTCAGTTTCATTTAAGGGGGGCACTGCACGTTGTGTTCTTTACACTAGTCGTCAAAAAAAAAACGGGACAGTATTTTAAAACGTCATAACTCCGAGAGTC